AGGAGAGGAAGGCCCTCTATCAGTTGGATTGATTCAGTGACTGGGATAATTGGGATGGGAGTGTCAGAGACAGTGCGACTGGCACAGAACAGAGCGGAGTTTAGGGCTGTTGTACATAGGGTCGCTATGAGTCACAGGTGACTCGACGGCACATAACAACAACAACAACTGACACAGTGACTAGGACATCGGGCCCGAGCAGGGCGGCGGTTGTCACGGTGCTGCCGGACAGGGCAAGTTTTCCTTCTCTTACTCATAGGGACACCATGAGTCACAGTCAACCTGACCTTACCTACATTTCTAAGGAGAAAGTCGTCTGTCTTCTCGGGTGAGATCATTTTAAAATAAGTGTGTGTGTTCTGTTTCAGCTTCTCAGTGCTGCTTTCACAGAATGAGGAGCTTTTAAACAACATAAGAATTATTTTTCTGACAGCCTGAGAGGCTGAAGTCTGATTGTAGGGCACGCTCTCCTGAGGAAGGCCCCCTGTCTCTGTGGGCTCTGGGTAAAGACCCTTCTCTTTCAGTGATCCCTGGTTCAATGGTGATCTTCACACGGCAGGCATACATCTCTCCAGTTTGTGCTTTTTGTCTGTATCCATGCTGTTCTTTTTAGCCCAAAAGAGACAGGCAACATGCTATGGACTATACCACGAGAGCTCCTTTTGAGAAGTGGCTATGTTTATAGGACGTCTCGCACTAATAGGGCTTTGTTAAAGTAACAAAGAAAATCTTTTACTTCTAAATAAGATTATAACAACCAGTGAGAGAGATGAGGACCCGGTTCCGACTTTGGCCACACACACACAACTTCAATCTACATCACAGGACTCAAGAACAGGAGCAGCAAGAGGTGATGCTCTGCTTGATTCAGTTTGTTAACTACCCACAATCTTATATGCTTTCTTACCTTGAAGCCAAAGGAAAGCAAACTGAGAAATCAAAACTTTTGAATGCACAGGGCTCTTCTCCAAACTTCCATTTGATCCCTGGAATCCTTTACTTTTTCAGTATTTATTTTTTTATTTTCCACTGGAATCCACTGGTTGGCATTTAAAGAGCTAACGTGACACCGGCATCCACTGGAATCCACCGGTTGGCATTTAAAGAGCTAACGTGACACCAGCATCCACTGGAATCCACCGGTTGGCATTTAAAGAGCTAACGTGACAGCCTTGCTCCAGCCATCCATTCCTACGTCACCAGTGTAGTCTGAGGATCCCCGTGAGCACCTACGTTAACCCACAATGCTACCTCAGTCATGTCTTCTTTCTGCAGGAGTCACTTCTACGAGAGAACTGCTCTCCAACTAGCCACACTCTGTAGGTTTATAACAGAAAAGAGCAGCGGGCATTTAAGAAATATTTAAGGTGGATGATGGAAGGAGAGAGAGGAGAAGATGCTTCTGAATTACGGTGCTGCCAAAGAACGCTGATTATACTATGAACATCTCTCCTGGAAAAAGTGTGGCCAGAGCGCTGTTTGGAAGAGTTGATGGCAATACTTTGTTTCATGTACTTGGAACACATTGTCAGAAAAGACCAGTCCCTGGAGAAGAGCATCATGCCTGTGAAGTGTCAGTGAAAACAATCATTAATGAGATGCCTGGCACACTCCAGCAGTCCTGAAGCTGACACGGCCAGGCAGGGAGCTGCTATGAGTCAGGACAAACTCAACCACCAGGTAGTTACCTGGCACGTGAGGCAGAAGATGCGGTTTACTTAAGAGAAATTCTTAGGTAAGTATAGAGGGAGACGAATTTATTGATACAAGTTTTGTTTTTTGTAAAGACTGCATTTACTCTTCTTATGGGTTATGTAAAGTTTCAAAAGCAACTCAATCTCAAAAAATCCGGAGTCCAAATTACCTGTATTTTATAAATCACTAAAAAACTCACTGCCGTCAAGTTAGCATCACGTCATAGCTGACCCTCCAGCAGGTTTTCAGAGGCTGTCCATCACATGCAGGGAGACTGCCCGTCTTTCTCCCACAGAGCCAATGCTGGATTCAAACTGGCAGAGAGGTGCATCACCCTATGGACTATGTGATCAGAGCTCCCTGATTTATAAACAAGAACATGGAAGACAAACAAAGACTTAGTGACATATGCACGGGACGCAAGATTTGGCAAGCCAAGCCAGGACTGAGCATCGCTCACTATGACTTGTACTCAAATTTTGAGGCTCAGCTGCACCTTCCATATTTGTTTCCAGCAACATTACTAGAATATCATTTCCCTTTGGCATTGTTTGTAACATCACACCATCTGTAACTGTCTTCACCCACAGTAACTTTATTAAACAGCCATCTTTAGGGTTGGCAAAAGGCACAAGGAAGGAGGGTCAGCCTGGTTACTCTAAATGTGGGTTATATCCTTTTTACTTGCGTTTCCTAGATATCAAAGTGAAATCATATCCATAATTTTAATTTAGGCAAGACTGTTTCCTTCTAACACAAACACAAAAATCTTAGTAAGTGTCAAGGTTTCCATCACCAAATCCATTCTTTTATCGCTTTTGGACAACAAAGTGGTTGACTTAATAACTCCACAATTGTCATATGTAATTTTTCCCATTTGAACTAAATTTTTCCAGAGGATGATCCAACAATTCATGTTAGGCTGAGAAAAGATAAACCCCATGCTAAAAAGAAAACTCTAATTTATTTGCTCTTTGTGCAGACATAACCTAAGAATAATAAAAATTCTGAATCCAACCGTAACTAGGCCTGAAGTTCAAGGATGCTCTTATTTAATGTGCTTCAGAAAGCTGAAAACAGTTCAAGATCAAGACTGTTAGGCATAAAACAGAAATTTATTTAAAAAACGAAACACTGTCTTTTAGATACACAGGTACAAGAGAAATTCCAGGCTGTGGCAGCATCTTCTCCAGAAACAGCTTCCACCACAGTCAATACTGGTTTCGAAATTGGTTGCTTAGGTCTTGGAGTTCAACTACTAAGGTGTCCATGGCTGCTATTTCATGAGCTAGCTCCACGGAAACTTCTCCACTGGTGACATCTATAAAAAGGTGCTGCAACATTTAAAAAGGAGAGAACTATCAAAACAACTACTGTAAGGAAAGATACAGGAATTAGAAATTAACATATCTTTTGTATAATAACATCCCGTTAAAGAAGCAATTTCTTCTGTTCACCATCTTAGGAAATGAACAAGCTATAACAATTAAATAATGAATCCAAGCAACATTTCCAAACTTGTACATTTAAATAAGCTCTGTTCTGCAAAGTATGCTTTGAATATGGGCTATTCATCAGGATGCTTTGGGAATGAATAGGCGTTATTCTATTTGTCATGTACGCAATGAAAAGAAATATATTTTATAATCAAGTTCACATAACTCATATCTTTCATGGGACTTATTGGAGAACTAATTTTGACTGGAGCCTCAGGGGCCACAAAACTTTAAGATTTGATACAGGCAAGCAAAACAAGAGAAAAGCAAAACAAAATAAAGATACAGCCTGCTCATGTAAAATAAACTGCTTTGGGGAGCTTACAACATTTTGGGAATCTATTTGAGGAATTGCTTGCTGTGTCAATACAGATACCTAAGAAAGCAGCTTTAGAATTTTAAGAAACACATGTGTATGTGTGTGTATTAATTAGAAATTGTATTAATGAGTTTCACATCTATCTTTTGTCACAGACTGGACCATGACAGCCCAGTTACTTTAGCTGGGTGCTGGCAGAACTACTGGAATAGGTTTGTTTCATATAGTGACTTCTGGAGCAAAGGGTATTTATTTGGATTAAGAATTCCAAGAATCTTCAGCAAAATTTGACCATACTACTTTTTAGCCATACTGTGCACAGAATTTCATTAACAGAATGTGACATAATTAGTACAGAAAATACTTTTTTTGGGAAAATAACACAGGCACATATAACATTTTTAAATAAAAAAAAACTATAGTGTTTGCAAATCTGAATGAATCTGCATCACTGTCCACTAATAAGTTATTGTGGACCATCGAGTAAGACCTGACCCATACCTGACCTTCCCGTGGGTTTATAGAGGCCATTAATCACACGGGAAGGAGGAGATTGCCCATCTTTCTCCTGAAGAACAATTTGTTGATTTGATCTGCATATCTTTGTGTTGACAGGGCAGTTTCTAACCTCTAAGCCACCAGAGTTCTCTCCCTCCAAGAGGAAGATGAGGAGGAGGAGGAGCAGCTAAAGCTGAGAAAGGGTAATTTGCTGACGGTCTCACACATCGTGAAGTGATGAAATCTGCTCTAGACTCCAGGGTTTCTGACTGAGGACTCAGCAAATGGCCTACATACTGCTCTTTGCAACAACCGTGCAGAATACATGCAAACATATACACTATTCAAACACATACAGATAAATTCTATTTACTTGGAAACTTTTATTAACATTTAATTCCATGCAATAAGACATTATAATAAATTAACATGCTACTTATGTTGAAAATCAATCTAGCTTATTAATGATTTTCTTTTCATATTATTAAAAACAAAAGACACTTAACATTACATAAATTCTTTTAGGATATTTGGTAAAATTTCCCGAGCCTTTTAAGATTTGGGTGTAAAATATCTTTTCTTTGCATTTCATGAACTATTCCCAAACAGCATCATTAGTTTGGAAGGCTACTTTAACGAGCACTTTGAATCTGAGAAACACATCTCAATTTCCGGACAATTTCAGTTTTTGAGGGTATCTTAATATAATGTTTTTAAAAGGCTGGGTTAAGAAACTAATTGAGTGAGTTGCACTGGAACTCTGCAAGCAGAGTACATAACACATTGGTTGGCAGTTGAAATACACCAGTTGCTCTGTGTTGGGGAAAGACAGGCAGTTCTCCCCTGTGAAGATTTGTTAAGAGGCTCGGAATCCTGATGGAGGGTTACTATGAATAGGAATTGGCTCTACAGCACTGGATTTCTGCAACAAGTATTAATTAGAAAACAATGAAAGAAAAAACTATCAGGGGCTATTTAAGCAACAGTTAAGGTAAATACCGTTACATGAACTTTGCATGTGTACATCTGTTTATGTGGATATGCATAAAATAACACACAGATGGGGGGTTGTGTTACAAATATATTTTGCACAAAGTCCAGGCTGGATTTAAAAGGGGTCATGGTACTAGAGATATTGTAGCTGATGTTAGACGCATCTTGGCTGAAAGCAGGGAATACCAGAAGAATGTCTATCTGTGTTTCATTGACTATGCAAAGGCATTTGACTGTGTGGATCATAACAAACTGTGGCTGACTCTGAGAAGAATGGGAATCCCAGAACACTTGATCGTTCTAATGCAAAACTTATACTTGGACCAGGAGGCAGTCGTCAGAACAGAGCAAGGGAAAACTGCATGGTTCAAAATTGGGAAGGGCGTACGCCAGGGATGCATCCTATCTCCATACCTCTTCAACCTATATGCAGAACAGATTATCCGGGAGGCTGGGCTCTATGAGGAGAAATGTGAGGTCAAGATTGGTGCTTGATTTATCAACCATCTGCGTTATGCAGATGACACAACCCTGCTGGATGAAACTGAAGAGGACCTGAAGCGCCTGCTGCAGAGTGTCAAGGACTGCAGCCTACAATATGGATTGAGGCTCAATGTCAAGAAGACAAAGATTCTCACCACTGGACCAATTGGCAGCATCAGGATGGATGGTGAAGAGATTGAGATTGTACACAGCTTTAGTTTGCTTGGCTCCGTAGTCAACAGTCTTGGCACCAGCAGCCAGGAAATGAAAAGGCGCATTGCCATGGGAAAGTCTGCTGTTAGGGACCTCTCCAAAGTACTGAAGAGCAATGGTGTCTCTCTGGAGACTAAGGTGCGTCTGATACAGGCTATGGTCTTCGCAATCACCTGTTATGCATCAGAGAGTTGGACAATGACCAAGGAGGAGAGAAGGAGAATTGATGCCTTTGAGCTGTGGTGCTGGAGAAGAGTATTGAGAATACCATGGACTGCTAGGAAAACAAACAGATTTGTCCTGGAAAGGGTTAAACCGGGTGGCTCCTTGGAGGCAAGGATTCTGAGGCTCCGTCTAACATACTTTGGACATGTTGTGAGGAGAAACTGGTCCTTGGAGAGGGACATCATGCTTGGGAGGTGGAGGGACAGCGCAGGAGAGGAAAGCCCTCTATGAGGTGGATTGATTCAGTGACTGGGATAATTGGGATGGGAGTGTCAGAGACAGTGCGATTGGCACAGGACAGAGCGGAGTTTAGGGCTGTTGTACATAGGGTCGCTGTGAGTCGCAAGTGACTCGACGGCACATAACAACAAGCTTGATTTTCAAATCTGAAACACAACTATTATTAAATAGCCTCTTACGTTTTAAGATATTAAATAGTATTTGTTTTTGTTTATTGTTGTGTACTGTAGAGTCGGAACTGACCCAGTTTTCAGAGGCGGTTAATCCCACGGGAGGAATTGTCCATCCTTCTCCCACGGAGCAGCTGGTGGCCTCAAAAAGCATGTCTTTGGGATTGCAGCGCAGCTTCTTGCCGCTAGGCCACCAGAGCTCCCTAAATATTATTTAGAATACTTATTTTATGTTTAAGAATTCTTCTTTTTCTCTCTTCATTTCTCAGTATTTCATAAATTTTATAGAGACACAAAAAAAGAGAACTCTTGCAGTGTAGTCTGCTGAGTATTGTTCTGCTAATCCAAAAGCTATGCGTTTGTTTGAGAAAGATGGGCAATCTCTTCTCATTGTGGTTCAGAGCTGCCAGCACCCAAGAGAAGGTGGCTGGGGGTTAGAACCAACCTGACAGCAGTGAGTGATGCAGGAGGGGGGGGAAAAACTATCCCAAGCTCTAAAAAATCCAACTCTCAAGCTTAAACGCATCAGGCTGACCGAGATCCTCCAATAATAAGTGGTTGGCAACATTTGCTGTGAGAACATAAAAAAGACAAAAAAGGAGGGAGGAAAACTAGAGACAAATGGCACAGCAGCCTAAGGAGGGATAGAAATCTAGTATTGTTGAATGACAAGAACGTGGTTTCAAATGCTTCTGTTCTGTGTAAATGGATTTAAATGTTCAACACAACCAAAATAGTTTTCTTTCAACAGTATGTGTAGAAAAAAAAAAATGTGAATAAAAAAAAACCAATCTGAACTGTCTCAGCAATATTATCACATGCAAAACAAAGATCCTAAGAAGCTGTGGCTATTAACACAGAGGGAACTGGAAGCGTATATTCTGATGAAATAAGTAGCTGATAGATTAGAGTGGTTGACCAAAACCCAGGGAACTTCTTCCCATTTGTGAAGGGAAGTCGTAGGGGCAGCGTGTGGCTCTGATTCCTTGGCGTGAGCTCTCACAGCCTTGTCAGGCAGAGTGCTGGAGTTGTTCCAGCAAACTAGGATAATAAATTTCTCCTGGGCAAACAGAAACCTGGCTCTCACATACAAATAAATAGTAAGTTCTAAAGAGGTTCTAATGATGCCCTGGTCAGAAAAAATAATCTATTTTTAAGAAAAGTATCTTGTAGTAAGGATTTTACACATGCCCATGAGCTAAACCAGTAGGTTTGCTCTCAAAAGTGAGTCCAAATCAGTGTTAAAGCCAAATTAGACTAAAGGTTAAAACTGGCCAGAAGCTGACTCTCTAGCTGGTTTTCAGAGGCTGTAAATCACACAGGAGCAACTGCCCACGTTTCTGCCTTCTTGGAGCAGCTGATGGATTGGAGGGGCCACATAGGTGCTGCCTCGTTTAGGGGAGTAGCACCGACTAGGTTAACAGAGCTCCTCTGGATTAAACAGTGAAAGCAAATAAAGACTAAAAAAGAAATCTGACAACTAGAGATTTAGTCTAACTCTGAGTGCATATTAGAATTGACTAGAAAATCTGACAGAGATTCCCCCAGACCTGAAGCTCTATCTGTCAGAGCAAGAGTCCAGAAATCTATCTCCAAAAAAGCTTTGGCACTGTACTGCAATGTGATATGTGGGACCTAATGGGACATTTTACTTGTTAACCCTAAGACGCTCATTCATCTAAAGCTCTCTTTGTGACATCCACTTTTGTTTTGTTGTTAGGGGCTATCGATATACTACTTTAATATTTTTTCTCTTAGTTTTTTTTTTTTTACTTAAAATGTTTTTGGTTTATTTTTTATAATTGACTCTTTATTTACGTCTCATGTGCCAACTTAGAGTTTTCCACCAACTTGGGGGGCAGAAACTTTCCCAGGCTTCTCAACTTTTTGAGTAGGCACTGCTTTTGTGGGAGCCTTAGTAGCAGCCATTGCTGTCTTTTTAGATGCTGGTTTAGCACTTCTGTTTCCTTGGCAGCCCTGATAGCCTGTTCTAGATGAGCCTTTCTAACTTTAGGCTTTCAACTGAAAGTATTTAATTGTTTTTTTTAATTTTATATTGGTTTGCTTAAAAATTCATATCCGTTGTGTTTCACACTATCTTTCATTCACACTGCGTTTCATAGAATTATTTCCATACAACGCATTTTATAAAATTAATCACCACTGAACTATACCCACCATTACCCCATCTTTCCACCAGATCTTTCCCATTTCCTTTACTCCTCCCTCCACCCACCAAATCATGTGACCCTGTGATTTCTGCCCAGCCCACCCTCACCCCTTTACTCCCAACCCTTCCTCCCTTGGATCCTCATACACTTGAAAGTATTTTTAAAGAAAGCATTAAGTCATCACCATAAATGGAGAATAAGCAATAAGCACCATGAAATTGTAGGTTTAGTGTGTTAGCTTTACTTTCTGAATACATGTTGAACCAAATTCACCTAGTCTTCATTTATGGATTTGGGTATAATTTGGTTAGAATAAAATGTAAAAATTTTACATTTTACGTAAAAATGGAGGATGATCATATCAGATCACAAAAACTGGAAGATTCGTACATTATTATATAATTGACAAGTTACATCATTATAACTGATCATGTTCTAGTCAAAGTGGCCATAATCTTGCTCATTACAGCCAGCATTAGCCTTTACCTCACACCTCCACATTTGTTACTGCCAGGTACGTTATTAATGCACAAAATAACTGGGTAGATCTTTTTTCACTGTGGTTGAAAATGTAAACCATCAGATAATGAGACAAGTGTAGGCTGTGCTGTTATTGTCTACCGTCGAGTCAGAATCAACTCGTATCTGACTCTCCAGCGGGTTTTCTGAGACAGTAAATTGCATCGGGGGGGGGGGGACTCTGCATCTTTCTCTCATGGGGCAGCCTGTGTATTCAAGCTGCATGCCTTTGGGTTGGCAACACAACTCCTTTCCACTAAGCTACCAGAGCTCCCTAAGTGTAGGTGTATATCGGAAGTAGAAATTTTACTGACTGCACGTATGCCACAAAAGTGTCAATAAAAAGGTATTGTTTCCCTTTAATTTATGAAGAGGACAAGGCCCTAACTGTACACATTAACTCCTAATGCTCCCTAGTTAGTCATATTTGGGTTAGCCTAGCTAGGAAGGAAGGCCTGACTACTTCTAGGAGTAAGGCCACAGTTCACAATGGTCTAATCCTACTGTTGGAGCCATGATGAACTCTGATGCAAAGGTGACAGTGGGCAACAATAAGATGCTACTGGTCCAAAAAATATCCTCATCAGAACAACCTGGGGCACTCTCTACCAAACTATACAGACTTAAAATTACCTCTGATTGAAAAGAATTTGGAATAGTAGGAGTGGCCTCCACTTTCTAAACAACACGCCTCTGGAAACTCTATAAACTTTGACAAACGACAGTAGTTATAGAAAGGCTTCAGGTCTCTTGTTCACAGGGTCACTATGAGTTGTGCTCGACTTGACAGTAATCAACAACAAGAAGATGATATTAAAAATCTTTCCCCACATGACAATTCTAATTGATTCACATTACAATCTTACCTTTGCTTTTGATATCAAGCCCCGTAAATTGAGTCGAACTGAAGAAAGCATTTGGATAGCCTCTTGGGGACTGGATTTGCTTTTACTGCATTTTATAGCCACTGAAAGAGAAATATGGGGGGAATTATCTACTAAAAATAGGTAATGATAATTTACAGGTTTAAAAAAGTTGAACTTTATAGAAACAGATTTTAGGACTCTTCCTGTATGTAAAATTTTCTTTTTGAAATGTTAATAACTGTGTGTATCTTAAAGCAAAAGAATTCACTGACAAAGTGGAAAAAGGTTACGGAAGAGAGGTGATTTTGGTGAGTTACAAATCATAACATATTAAGCACAGACTCAAGCTTGCAGCCAAAAAACCAAGCTGCCCAACTCTCACAGAGAAGACGGCACTTGTGCAGGGCAGTCTAGCAGACCTGCACACACATGGTCCCAGTCCCGGTAAAGGACTGCAACGCTAATGAAGCTGGCTGAAGAATGCGATGCTTTCCACATTCAGGGTTTACACCTCCACTCTGGAAGGATCTATACCAACAGTCTATGGCTTTCACCATAGAGGCTGTGAGCACAGCAGGCGTCCAGGGCCCTGAGTTGTGAGTGGCATCTGCAGGTCAGAGGGGGAAGGGTGGGGACTCGCCTCCTCCAGCATTCTGAGGAGTCCATTTTCCTAAGAACTGAAATTATGAAGGGGTCCACTGCCTAACTCTTATCCCTGCCCGGAAAGAATGCCCAGGTACCAGTGCTTTGTAAAACTAAGCAAAGAAGACGGTACAAATGCAAGGCCTGTTTCTTCACTCAATTAGTTTTAGTCCTCTTAATTAAGCTTATGAAATTGAAAGAGCCCAACAACTAGATTCTTATTTTACAACTCCACTGAAGGTGTAAGCTTTAAAGTCCACTTGTACTCTAGCTTTTAAAATGAGGATATAAAAGAGGTGTCTTTTTGCATGCAAACATTGTTCAATTGCGCAGAGGCTGTGCCTGGTAAAACAGTTTCATCATTATTGGTAGGGAGTTTTGGTGGACTCGTAGTAAGGAGATGTCCTGCCAACCTGAAGGCACTGTTTGACTCCACCAGCTCCTCCACAAAGATGGGCAATCTCCTCCTGTGTGATTTACTACCTCTGAACGCTAGAGGGTCAGTTAGGCGTGGATTCCAACTCAATGGCACACAACAACATCACTAAGTAGGAATGTCTCCCAGAGTCATAGAAAAACCAAGTTGATATTCATTCCTCTATCAAATAATTAGACTTTGATATTTTTCAGCGAATAGTTGAGATTCTTGGTAATTGTTGTGACGTGCCGTCAAATCGAGTGCGACTCACAGGGACCCTATGAACAAAAGATCTGATCCCTGTTCTATCTTGTGGCATCCTCATACTTCCTGACACACAGAAGACCACTGAAGCACTGTTAAGGTTGTTAAAAAGGGCAAAGTTAATGCAGACTGAGTGAGAATGAAAACTTCTGCTGGATCTGGTGGAGGAAACAAAGATGCCACTACCGTGGTGCAATTCTTGTCCTACAAGGTCTACTGGGAGTGAGAATCTGCAAAGAACACTACCCAGAAACTCATGTAAGACAATGCTGTGGTTCTTGGTTTTAATCTCTTCTTTTCAATCTAAGAAAAGTTAAAACCAAACTCAACTGTCTCCCCTTTCCTCCCCCAATTTCCAAAAGATAGTAAGAGACGTAAAGAGATAAAAGACAGGGAAGAAAGGACAAGGGAGAGGGGAAGAGAGGAAGCAGAGAGGCTTGGAGAAGCAACCTGCAGCCTCAATCACCAGGATATCTATGGGAGAAATACCTAACTGTTCTTTTCAAAGTTCCTGAAAGGGCAGAGAACTAACTAGCTTCCTCCACCTTCCCCCTAAAAATAAAACGGCAGAGACTATAAAAGAGGATACCCTGCAGACAATGCAAATGGGCACACAATGGCAGCATTGTTAGAGAGTCTTAAATAGCTCCTTGAGATGACAAAGTTTTATCAAGCTTTCTGAAGTGCTTGGCTACTCTTAACAATAAAAAAAAAAGCAGTGAACCATGTAGAGATTTTAAAAAGAAAGAGAACATTATAAATTAACTTTTAAGAACTTGGTGGCATAGAGGAGTTAACAGATAAGAGAAAGATAGAAAAAGCCAGCTCACTGTTCAACTGTGCACTGATATACAAATGCTCTTAAGAAAAGGTTAAAATTTATCTCCTTATATTTAAAAAATATCATTAAACACCACAGCTGAACATCCACTTAACTATGCCTGAAATGTCGAAGGAGCACTAACACAGAATTCACTAAAGTCAAAGGGAACTTCAAAGCACAGACACTTGTTTTGGTTTTTTTTTAATGAACATTGTTATGATGACAAAATGGTGCTGACAGTAGTTTAAAATCAAATTTAAGAGGAAAAATGAAGGTTTCTTTTCCCTAGATTATCTCTTTAGCTTGAATATTTACATTTGACAGGTGTGATACCAGCACTTGGTGATAAGAGAAAATATCTCGATTTTGCCTGTTATAAAGTTATATAAAGTTAGCTGTTCACAGAAATGTTTAGGGTTGGAAAGTTGAAGTGAAAAAAAGAAATTCTTCAAAGTAAATAACACTTTGCCAATTTTCTACATAGTACTCCTTAGCTCTGTATTGTCCCAAATATGACATTGTATTTCCATAAGCAATCTGAGTCTAATCACCATGAATGAGATGAGAAGAATGGCCATATCAATACTGTTATGTGCTGTCGAGTCACCTGCAACTCACAGTAACCCTATGTACAACAGCCCTGAACCCTGTTCTATCCTTGAGCTAATTTCACTGTCTCTGACACTACACTGTCTCTGCCCCACTCGCCCAGTCACTGAGACAAACAATCTCATCCAGGGTCTTCCTCTCTCGTGCTGTCCCTCCAACCTCCCAAGCATGATGTCCGTCTTCAAAGACTGGTCCCTCCTGGCAACATGCCCAAAGTCAGAAAAAGCTTCAAAATCCTTGCCTTCAGAGAGCAGCTTGGCTTTACCCTCTCCAGGATGGAGCTGTTTGTTCTCCTAGCAGTCCATGGTCTATTCAAGACTCTTCTCCAGCACCACAGCTCAAAGGCATTGACTCTTCTTTTATCATCCTTAGTCATTCCACTCTTTAACAATTACCTCCAACATTCTTCCACTGAATTTCAGCTATGGAGATTTTAATACTTAGATCTATCAAGGTTTAACTGGCCCAGGAAATTGGATATTTATATTCTTTTGCCTACAGAATCACTTATCATTCCTCCAGCCCAGAAAAATGATGGAGGGTTGGGAAAGCAAGGGATTAATGTGTGAACTATGTGCAAAGCATTGTAAAGTATTTAAATATATTTCCATTTATTCTTTAGATATCCATATGTAGGTATCATCCTATATTACTAAGTAGAAAAACCAAGGCTCAGAGAAGGAGTTTGTCTTGAGTTACTTGGCAAGCACTTAGATCTAGTGTCAGAGTTCAAGTCCTTTTGATTCCAAAGTTCTGTCCTTGTCACAGCCCCCAGTGCCTCATCTGCTAGGATTTAGTTGTAGGAAGAAGGCAGCTGAGAAGCAGGAGGAAAAGCTCACAGTCCTAGGTGTAGTTCTTCATATTGTGACTTTGTTATTTTATTAGAACTGCATTCCCAAGGTATTATATTCATACAAATATAAATATAAAAAAAGCACATCACTAAATCTAAGCAGTATGCCTTTCATTAATGAGAATAATTAAAAACTGTCTTTATCTGGAATATATTTACCCAATGAGCATGTAACTTTAAAAGGAAGGTTACAGATAGAACCCTTTCCTACCTAAACCACTCTTTAATTTCTCAAAGACAGATATAAAATTATATTTTATATTCTTTTGTATATGTCATCACTCTTTGTATAATACAATGTACTCCAGAGGTCTACCTATTTTTCAGAATAAATACTTTCACTTTTAAAGAGAGAACATAAATCAGGGAATAGTTAACTAATCTCCTTAATATGATGTAAATCAATACAAACAGACTGTAAAGTAGAAATTAAGTACAGTTGTAAAAGTATTTCATATTTCTTTAAAAAGTTTCTAATACCCAATCCTATTACAAAGGGTATTTAAGCTTAAATCTTGTTTCTTCTCATTGTTCCAAAGTGCCTAGCACATGTAAGTTGGTCTATAAAATGTTCAAAGAATTAAATATAACAACTCCAATATGGTGAAAGAATTTAAAATTATTAACAATGGTGTTTTACTTTTGACTAATACTCTTATTAGTAAAGGATACATTAAAGCATGCAACAAATAGCAAATATGATGTATTATATACCATGTGCAAGTCCTAAGGCTCTCTGAGCCACTTCCTTAAATGACGCCACATCCTTCTCCCAACAACTGGACTGTGTGTCGCACTTGTATGCCTTAGAGAGATACTGGAATGCCTGAGGAGAGAGAAAGGACAATGCTTAGAACACAACTAAAATTCACATTTCAAACAGAAACATGTCCTGGAAGTCATATGGATCTAATTCCAACCTGAAACACCCACATCAGTATAATACAGCACACTGTTAGTATTATCAAAGAAGGGGCATGATGCCCACACAATAGCAACAAGCAATTAAATCAGACAGATAGAAATCTAACTACAGATAGAGACATTGTCCTGTAAACAAACAACCAAAATGTAAAGGCTAAGATTAGAAATCTGTAGGAAATTAAGAGATTCCCCCAGGACTTGTAGCCATCAGCTTATGAAACCAATTTAAGAAACGGTGAATTCTTCATAATTACTGATAGAAACATAAAAAGGTCACAGAAATTGAAATTTTTTTTTTTCTCTTTCACAACCCATCTTTGTGGATTCATTAGAAAGACGTTACAGATCAAAGAAATTTAAGCACCTTTAATTCTATACATACAGAAGAGGACATAATTCAAGAAGGAATGGAGAGATGGGAAGCAGAGGTGAGTACATGCAGGCAAGTCTGTTCGCTGGTCTGACAGGCAATGGTAGCCATCAGAAGGGTGGACTGAGGGATGACTGGGCAGGACTCAGGGACTAAGAGTCCCACAAATTAACTGGGTTGTGCGTGACCAGTTCCAAATCCATGCAAGAAGTGACTTTCATTTGTTGTGGCTGTTTTGCAAAATGATTATTCTGATCTTAGAAACTCTGGGGGTTCCTTAAAATTTAAGAGGCTACAGACAAAACCTGAATAACTGGTGTCATATTGTACTGATGAGAGATGTGTACAAATACTCCATGCTTGGACTTTAAAAGATACTCTCCAATATATTAATCTACTTCCTTTTTCTCTTTCCCTCATCTTAGGTGTATCATCAGTCCTCATCTTAGATGTATCAGAGTCATTGAGACTGGCTCTGGAAAGGGCAGACTTCAGAGCTGTTGTACATAGATAGGATCACTATAAGTCGCAGGAGACTCGACAGCACATACAAAAACAAAGTATCTTAGATTTAAACACTCTTGCCTTCTATCTAACTTGTGTTGGTCTTTCTTAACACTGATCCTGCACAAAGGAGTGATTGTTGTTATGTGCTGTCGAGTCACCTGCGATTCATAGCGACCCTATGTACAACAGCCCTAAACTCTGTTCTATCCTGTGCCAATCTTACTACCTCTGACACACCTACCCCCATTATCCCAGTCACTGAGTCAATCCATCTCATCCATCACTGGTCTTCTCGCCTGTGCTATCCCCTCCACTCTCCCAAACATGATGTCCCTCTCCAAGGACTGGTCCCTCCATATCCAAAGTATGTCAGACGAGGCCTCAGAATCCTTTCCTCTAAGTGCAGTGAAAAAATGTTGGCCAGCTATTAGCTGCACATCCAGTAGAGGTCAGTAGGTTAAAGAGACCCTTCTGTAAGAAAGAAAACAACTAAGAAAAATTCAGGGAAAGGGGGAAAAAATGTTTACAAGTCTTAATTTGAACACAATTCAAACTACCTATGTGAAAGACTGACTCAAAAGTGAAATGGAACACATTTATGTTATCTTTCAAGTTATCAAACTCTCCTTCCACCCATCAGAAAAGTAGATTTCCTACCCACATAAACACATGGCAAGGGAGCCCAATAAGCAAGGAGAAGTCTCACCTTTTCATTGTCATCAGGCTTGTCACTCTGCCCGTTTCCATACACTTGGGCATACAGCCTCCAGATGGCACCATCGTTTGTCACTCTTGAAGTTACTCTACCAAGTAACTCCTGGAGCTTTCCTTTGAGGCTGGTTGCGGCATCTCCGTTGCGATCAGTCACCCCATCAACCACTGCTCTGACCAGAATTTTAAGGACCTTAAAAAAACAAACAAACAAAAAAGCACATAAGCAAGCTGGTAAACTAGAAACAAGAAAGTTCCCATCACCACTGTTGGAATAACGAAGACCTTGTGAGATCTATTAGATCATTTCCTTTGCTGTTGTTGTTAGGTGCCATCGAGTACAACCCAAAGAGACCCTATGAACAACAGATCTGAACCCTATGTCATCCTCATACCTCCTGACACACTAGAGCCCACTGCTGCAGCCACTGTTGTCAATCTACCTGATTTTTGGTCCTCCTCTCTGTTGCCTTTTGGGAAGCCTCTGCCTTCCCAAGTATAACGTCCCTCCCCAAGGAATAACCTCTCCTAGCAACATGCCCAAAGTATGTGAGGTGAAGCTTTATTATCTTTATCTCCAAAGAACAGTCTGGACGCACCCTCTCCAAGACATATTTGTTTATTCTTTTGGTCATCCATGAGATGGTCAATGTTAGTTTCCAACACCGCAGCTCAAAGGCATCAATTCTTCTGTCCTCCTTATTCACTGTCCAGCTCTCAGATAACAGCAAGTGATAGGAAAGTGAATCAGCAGTACCTTAGTCCTCAAACTGACATTACTGCTTCTCAACAATTTGGAGAGGTCCCCAACAGCACACTTTTCCAGTACACTATCCCTCCTGATTTCCTGACTGTTGGTACCAAGGGTGTCAACTGTGGATCCAAGTAAGGTGAAGTTGTTGATAGTTTCAATCTTTTCTCCATTTATCATGACATTGCCTATGAGTCTCAATAGGATATTGAGATGCAATTCATACTGAAGGCTGTATTCTTTGAACTTTTGCAACAAGTGCTTCAAGTACTCATTTTCAGCAAGCAAGGTTATGCTATCTGCATAAAGAAGGTTATTAATGAGTCTTCCTCTATTCATGATGTCACAATCCTCTTCACAGAGTCCAGCTTCTTGAATAATTTGCTCCAAATACAGATTAAATAAGTGTGGAAAGAGAAAATAACCCTGGTGCACCCCCTTCTTAATTTTGAATCATATAGTGTTGGAGGCCCATATGTGAAGAAGTTGGATTCTGGAAGATAGTTTCTCATGTCTTGGTGAGGGTTGAGTGTGGACTATTTGGTTGTTGTGGGGTTTTTTGTTCACAATCGGGAGAGAGCTGGATGGATTTTCTTGATTTAGCTAACAATGAGTTCTGGGCTGGAAGACTCGTGGTTTAGAATCAACCAGAACTTGGTGGCTAGGCCTCATTGCCCTCTGGCCTGGTGTTAACTGTGTTTGGAATGAACATTCATCTGTTAATTTGCTGTACTGAAGTAACTTAGGGTTGCTGTGATGCTAAACAGTATGCCACTGGTGTGTCAAATGCCATAATGGTTACCCATTGTGGACAGTGTTTGATGGAGGTCCCAGATTGATTCGGGTTTGGAAGCAGGATTGGCATCCACTTCCTAAACCACATGCCTCTAGAAACATTATGAACATAGAGAAGAAATGATAGTTATAGAATAGGGCTCAGGTCTTTTGTTCATATGGTCCCTATGAGTCGTGCTCAACTCAACAGCACTTAAGAACAACAACAACAACAAACAACAGTGTTCCCTTGCTCTATTTGGACAACAGCCTCCGGGTTTAGGTACAGGTTTCACATGAATACACTTAAGTGCTCAAGGATTACCATTCTTCTCTGTTAGCCATAACGTGTTATGATACACATGATACACATAGTCAAATGCCTTCGCATAGCCAATAAGTCATAAGCATTCTTCTGATATTCTTTACTTTCAGCCTGAATCCATCAGCAGTGATTTCCCTGGTACTACAGCCTCTTCTAAATCTTGCTTGAATTTCTGGCAATTTCCTACCTATGTACTTACTGTTCAGCCATTTCTGACTGTTCAGAAGTAGTTTGCCTGCATATGCTATCAATGATACTGTTCTGTAGTTTCTACATTCAGTTGGATCACCTTTCTTGGGAATGGGAACAAATATGGATCTCTTCCAATCTACTGGCCAGCCAGTTGTCCTCCAAATTTCCTGGCATAGATAAGTGAGCACATGCAGGGCTGCATATGTTAACTGAAACAAGTCAACTGGCATCCCATCGATTTCTGGGGTGCCTTATGTTGTGCCAATGCCTTCAATGCAGCTTTCATTTCCTCTTCATTACCACTGACTCCACCTCATATGGTACGTCCTGAAATTTTTCCATGTCAGTCAGTTCTTTTTAGTACAGTGACTCTGTATATTCCCTCCACCTTATTTTGATGCTTCCTGGGTCATTCAATATATTGCTAATAGTATTTTTCAATATAGTGACTTGAGCCTAAATTTGTTTTTCAGTTCTTTCAGCTTGAAAAATGCAGAGCAAGTTCTTCCCTTTTTATTCTCCAATTCCAGCTCTCTGTACATTCCATTATAATACTTTGTTTCTTCTTGGGCTGTGCTTTGAAATTTTCTGTTCAGCTCTTTTACTTCAGTATGTGTCTTCCCTTTGTTTTGGCTTCTCGGTTTCCCAGTGTAATTTTCATAGTCTCTTCTGACATCCATTTCAGTTTTTTTAATTTCTCTCCTTTGTAATGACCTTTTGCTCTCTTCATGGGTGATATCTTTGTTATCACCCCACAACTCTTCAAACTTGATGATTTTGAAATTCAGATGGCATAGATTCAAGATCATATTTTAGTTCTCATAGACTTATTTTAATTTTATTTAGCCTCAATTTGAACTTGCACACGAGTTTCCACCTGGCCTAGTTCTGACTGCCGGTATTGAGCTTCTCCATCAATTCCTTCCACAGCTGTAGTCAATCTGACTCCTACTCAGCCCATCTATTTGTTCATTTTGTGTGATCTATTTAAAGATCATCATCTCTATGCTGTTAAAATGGGAATGAAGCCATCCTGAACCCTTGTCTAGGTCTGCATGCATACTGCCTCTCCAGATGACCCCTGCTGCCTCTGTAGAGGAGCTCTTGCACAGGGCCCCACACCCAGCAGCAGCAGCTTCTCACTTTGCTCTTTCTTAATGGTCTTATCCAAATCTATAGCTTCAAATGCATTGCCGAGAATCAGGCAAACTCCTCCTTGGATCTCCAAGCTATGCACACTCACAGCATATGTCCCACTCATATCCTACATTCATTATAGTTAAGGTTTAGACACAGAAACCAGGTTTATCTTCCTGCAGCCTCCAGGTCAAACCATCCACAAAGTTCCCTGAGCCAATACCCTGAGGTCAACCTTGATTCTCTTCCTTTCCATTTGTGATGGATTTCTTGAGTCCACATTTCAAAAACAAGACAGAAAAAACTGATTTCCAAGGCCACATCTTTTTACCATGGAGCTGCTGGCAGGTTCAAATCACAAACTTTTTGGTTAGCAGTCAAAGGCCAATGTGCCACCAGAGTTCTTTCAACATTTCTGTCCTTCTTCCTGTTTGTTAGGGGCCTTCAGGTTGACTATGATTCACCATGACCATATAAAAGAACAAGAGACTGGAATCTTGCCCTATCCTGCACCGTTCTCATGATCTTCACCATGCTCGCGTCCCCTGTTACAGTTCTGAAAGTGCCAATCCAGCTTCTTGAGTTTAACTCTCTTTCAGTGACCTGCTCCCTTTAACAAAATGATGCTGTTTTCCAAGGACTATGTGAGATAACAGAGAAAGAACTGACACATTTGAGCTGTGGTGTTGGAGAAGAGCACACTGAGCATTCCATTGACAGCCAAGAAAACGGAAGATATATCTAGGTAAAGGTGCAGTCGAAATGCTCTTTTGAAGGGGAGAAGGATGAGGCTTTGCCTCATATACTTTGGACATGTTGCTAAGAGGGGCTATTCCTTGGAGAGGGACAAGATGCTGGGAAAGGCGGAGGGTCTGCGAAGGAGAGGAAGATCCTTAACCAGATGGATTGACACGGTGACTGCTGCAATAGGCTTTGTGTGTCAGGAAGTGTGAGGATGGTGCAGGATAGAACAGGGTTCAGATCTGTTGTTCACAGGGTTGCTGTGAGTCATACTCAACTCAACAGTACCAAAAAACACCACCACATGAGATTAAGTGTAAGATGAAGTTTCACCATCTTTTACTCTAACACAACATTTCTGGTGAGTCCTAAATCCAGTCTTTTCTGCCTTAATTTAGGCCCAATTACTTTCTGTCCAGACTGCTGTTATAATATTCAAACTGGGGGGGGGAGGGAAATCCTAGATTTTAAAAAGGATAAACTGGTAATGCAATTCTTTTTTTTTTTTCCTGTTACCACAAATATTTATTGGTACTATTTATACAGTAAACTAGGTTGTCTGTGAGGTTGTGGATAGCCTGAATTCACTGCTTTCTTGTGCACAATGGTGCTCTCTCCTTTATAAATGGGCAATTCTCTTTGGCATCCATTAGGCTTTTGCCCAGATATTGGATTAAGTGGAATTGCTGGGTCAAATGGTATCTCTATTTGCAACTTTTTGAGAAAGCGCCATACTGCTTTCCACAGGGGTTGCACCATTTTACACTCCCACCAACAGTGAATCAGGGTTCCAGTTTCTCCACAACCTCGCCAGCATTTGTTGCTTGCTGTTCTGTTAAATTTTGCTATTTTGACTGGGGTGAAATGATATCTCATAGTTGTTTTAATTTGCATCTCTCTTAGGGCTAGGGATTTTGAGCATTTCTTCATGTGTTTGTTAGCCATCTGAATGTCGTCTTCGGTGAAGTGCCTGTTCATAACCTGTGCCCATTTTTCTATTGGATTATTTACCTTTATCTTGTTGTGGTGCTCAAGTATTTCATAAATTCTGGATATAAGTCCCTTATCTGATATGTTATTACCGAATACTTTTTCCCAGTCAGTGGCTTCCCTTTTTACCCTACTGGAGAAGTTTTTGGATGTGCATAGGGATTTGAGTCTTAGAAGGTCCCATTCATCTATGTTATCTTCTGGTTGTAGCTTTTCCAGGATACTGGGAAGACTGTTTATGTTGTGGATTAGGACTTCTAGTGTTGTTCCTAGCTTTTCTGTA